TTAGAAAACAATGTAACTATTGAAACTGGAATTAAATAGCCATACTGGGTAAAAAAACTACCACACTTTGCACAGCAACTCAGCTTCAGTGGTGGGTGCTCGTAGAGTGAGTCTTCAAGTCTCTCTTGAAATGGGTCAGGGTCAGGGCTGTAGAAACCTTGAGGAAATCCTGTTCCAAAGGGCAGGTACAGTGACAGAGAACGCACACCTCCTGGATAGCGCAAGAGGATATTACTTAATAGATGGGACACAAAGCTAGCCAACACTGTTGGTTCATACCAGATAGACACAGTGGGAGTCAGGTCCCACAAATAGTCATCTTTTGACCTCTTCCAGTTGAAAATAGAATAATTGCTGGCAGAATGGTGGTTAGAAAGACCACAAGCAGAAGAGGTATGAAGCTGGAACTCATTTAGGTAATAACAAAAGTTTTCAGCATAGTCCTGGCCAAACAAGAATTGGAATTTCCTTGGATGGGGGAAGTGCAAATTTTTGGGTCTCTTTTTGCCAGAAAGACAATTCTAAGGTCTCACAGGGAAAAAAATCAAACTGCTTCAGCTGGGAGCAGGAGCTACCTTTGCAATTAAAGCAGAGTCCTCTTATGGTTGAACTTAGCAGCAGCCTACCACTTTTAAGTAGCACTCAATTGCATACCCCCCTATACTTTTGTGCATACTGCCACTATTCATTTCAGTTTATTTGGCCCCCTAAAAGTAAAAGTGAGCAGAACTGTACTCTTGATCACAACACGGTCCATTTTTATCTGCATGTAGCTTTGAAACTGGTTATATTGCCTATTCTTTTATTTTACAGTTTGTTGACTTTCAGTTTTATCATTTGGACAATTTTTACTTTTGTTGTTTCTCTAGCCGTATATATTTCCTTGGAATCTCTATACATTAGGGGCAATTTAGACAGTTTAGAAAAAATAAAATGATGCCTTTTTGAAATTTTTCACATGTGTTATCTCTGGGAAATACAATTTTCTTTTTTTATAAGTTCTAGTATATTACTTCTATTTATTATTCTTGAAAATCTTTATTACTTGCTTTTTTATGGTGATTGAAAGACCAGAAGAATATAATCTATTCATTATTTACATTTAATTTATCCCCTTGGCATTTCTTATTCAGACTCTAAATATAGCTTTTGTTTTTTGTTTTTGCTTTTTTCCTTTCTATCATGAATCTTATACTAATACATTGTGAAGTCATAACTGTTAAGAACAATTTTCTAAATTTGTCATAAAATATTTATGACAATACAGGCTTTTAATGTTTGGCTGACATGTCCATTAAATAGAGAAGGTTTCATTGTGCCTCAAAGGGTACAGTTGGACAGATACACACAAGTTCTGTTGAAATTTGTGGCATGCCTGATGGGTTTTCATGATTAAAATAGCATGAGTCATGGTTGACGCACTAGTCTGCAAATATAATGAACGGACTTATACTGATAATCTCCGCAACTCATTTATTTGACTAACAGTGAAGCCATATGAGGTAGATTCTTTTTTTTAAAAAAGTAAAACTGTTAGTGCTCTTTTGTACTGTAGTAAGAATTGCTTTATCTTGCATTTGATATGTATGGAAGAAAATGCTGGATAAGAATGGTACTCTTTTGTGGACCTAATTCATGACAAAATTTACAGGGTACCTATAGTGATTTAGAGAAAATAACTGAATAGATCACTTATAAAATATGTAATCCTCACAGCCCCATTACATATATTGTGGCATTTAGTTGAGAGGTCAAGAAACTGAAATATTTCAATTAGCTGGTAAACAGGAGTAAGTAATAATTGATATTCTTCCTGCTGTGTAGTATCAGAAAAAAAACGGATTGATGCAAACTATTTCTGACTTATTGAATAATAATACTAGGCCCTTTTTTTTGTTGGATAGTTAATGCAATCATCTCCATTTATAAAAAAAGAAAAGATCAGACCTAGGCAACTACTTGACTCCTAAGTACTTGGTTGAGACTTTTTAATTGACACTGATCAAGTAGGTTTCAGAATGCATGGAACTTCACTGGGACCATTTTTTTGCATTCTCAAATATCTTAGCTGTAGATACACAATGTATAATAAATCTCAGGTTAGTATTGCCTTTTTTCTTGGATATTGATGAAAGGACATTTATATTTGTTAGGTTCCTAAGGTATTAAGCAAGGCTAAGTACCTTTACCTTTATTAAGTACTTTAATCTACCTTTTTAAACATACCTCTAATCTTGTCACAGCACTGTGAGGCACCAGCTTGGATGCTCTTGCTGTTCAGAGTAGAAAAGTGTACTGGAATATTATATACAGGTAGTCCTCAACTGATGACAACAATTTGGACTGGAATTTCCATCGCTAAGTGATGTCATGAAGCAATCCCTGTAGTCCTGGTTACCATCATTAACTGATTCCCATGGTAGTTAGGTGAGGCAACCCCCTACCAGCTTCTCACAACCAGAGCCTATGGGGAAGCCAGCAGGAAGTTGCAAGTCCCAGGCTGGCAGGCAGGTAAGTGGCTACTGCCAGGTGGGGGAAGGAGTGAGGAGGCATATGGGGGTGCAGGGGATGATATGCAAGGGGGCATGCAAGAGGTGCTACGCAGGTCAGGGAGGGTGCGCAGGTCGGGGAGGGTGCACAGGGGTGCATGGAGATGCATGAGAGTTGCCATATGGGACAGGGAAGGTGTGCAGGAGTGCATGAGAGGTGCAGTGCAGGTTGGGGAGTGTCCGCCGCAGTATGTGAGAGGCGCTGCACAGGTTGGGGGGGTGCATGGCAGTGCAGGACGGGGAGGGTGCATGGGGATGTGGCATAGGTTGGAGAGGGTTGCAGGGGTGCAGGAGTGACGGGTGCAATGAGAGTGCAGAGGGGCTGGTGGAGGATGTGTGGATGGGGGAGACTTACCCCAGTGACTTGTGATCTTCCCTACTGGCTTCCCCTTTGACTTTCTGGGGAAGCCGGCATAGAAGGTTGCAAATGGTGATCATGTGATTGTGAGGCGCTTGGTAACTGGTTGTAAGTGCAGACGTGTTGCCAAGCACCAAGAGCGTGATGACATGACCATGGGGGTGCTGGGACAGCCACAACTTTGAGGACTGGTCGTAAGTCTCCTTTTTCAGCACTGTTGTAACTTCAAATAGTCGCTGAACCATTGCGCTGAACTGCTGACTACCTGTGGTTGTATTAATCAGGACAACACAGTGGATGGATACGTTGTTCCAAATATGGAACAAAGAAAAATGTTTGTTGGAAGAAACACTGTTGAAACTAAGATGGGGCATTTGGCCAGAACAAAGGAAGCATTTTGTTGCAGTTACGAGGTTACTGTTATTGTTAAATCCTTTAAGTTAAATCATTTAAGCATGCAGGACAGCACTTTCAGTAAGTGCTGTTTTGATCTGTTTGTGCTCTTCAATTTACTCTATTTGTGAAGACTAGAGAGGGGATAAACAGAATTTTAAGTGGTCCGTTTCTTTCCATAATTTCCAGAGGAATTATCTTTTGAGGTGGCCAATGGAATTATGTCCCTCTGATATTTTCTTTCAAAGAATGCAGAATCCAGGTGACAATACAATAAATGTAGATGTTGTCACTTGATTGAAAAAAAATATAGGAGGAAGGACATATGCCTACGCAGGATGCTTTTTTAAGGTTAAGAATGATAATCAGCCACCTTCACATTGTAAGATGATGTTTCCTCACATGTCACCTGAGAAAATTTTTGTAAAGATTCTTTTACTTCCCTGGAAGAAAGGTAGAAAAGATTTTGCCTCTTCCATAGTAAATTAAGAACCTTTTACGTGCAGAGGGCGGGATTCATCCTACTATCTGAAACATCAGCACTGACAATTGTAACATTTCAGTGAAGCACAGTGGAAGGCTTGATTCTTCCAGCTATGATGGGTTTTAAAAACTCCCATGTTCAAAATGTTCGTAACTTGAAACAACCATTTTAAATGTTTTGAGCTCAAAAGAAAATATTCCAATCCATATTCCAAAATTTTATCCCAGGATTCATGTTGTTTTGAATGTTTCAAATCCTGCATTTTTTCTACCCAAACCATGGAAACCTGGAAAAGTTCCATCATTGCTGCTTTGGGCTAAGGCTCTTTGAAAGGACAGGGGGTGTAGATGAAAATCAGTTAAGGACTTGTTCAGTGATTTATAATTATTTTGGATGTAAATAACAGGTTTTGGATTTCTTGTGAGCTTACCTAAATTGTTTCACAGTCTTCCCTGCTGAGTGAAGCCTGACACTTGCTAAGGAATGGCAGTTTTACAGTGTGGTGGATGATACTTAAAAGTATGTATATACTGTTCCAGCTCCCCAGATGCAGCAGCAAACACTTAAAAACAAGTTGTAGTTCATATCCATATTTTTTTCAATTATCAATATGCCTCAGAAAGGATACTGGTGTTGACTATGATATTCCTAACCTAGTCTTTATGCTTTGGGAGATAGACAGAAATATATGTAATTTCTAATAGCTATGCAGTGCATTAAATCAAACTTTCCTTATTATTAAGAAAACAGGCTTCAGACCAAAACTACTGCCACATAACTACTACTTTTATAGGAAATATACCAGTCCTTTTTTTATGTAATACTCAATTTGGATGAAAAGTTAAATGATTTTATGCTTGTAATATTACATGTAATATTTTACATCCTAAAATGCAATTAATATTGATAGAAGTATTTTCAATACTATAAGCTTTCTAAATAGTAGGATGTCCATAATTTATAATCATATTACATAAACTTTATTGTATTGAAATCTGCATTAAAATAATACAATGTATCAAGATTTATAACATTACAATAAAAGGAAAAAAAGAAAGAAAACAGGCTTTATTATGAAAAGCTTTGTAAGGTATGCACTGTTATGTTTTCAAACTACCGACTTGTTTAACATTATTTAATATGAGTTATGAGACAAATCTTTGTTGTAGCTTACTGAATAATAATAACAGATGAATTAACTTTTTCTGTTTTGTAGTTGATGTGTCCACAACAGTACCTTTGCAAGTTTCACCATCTATAGTACCTATGGATCTTCACTTGGATCATCAATTCTCCATGCCAGTGACTGAACCTACATTACGTGAACAGCAGCTCCAACAGGAATTGTTAGCCCTCAAACAAAAACAACAAATCCAGAGACAGATCCTCATAGCAGAATTCCAGAGACAACATGAACAACTTTCTCGTCAACACGAAGCTCAGCTACATGAACACATAAAGGTGAGTGAGGCAGTTTGAAGGGTAGGGGTGTGTGGTATGTGTGTATGCGTGCAGGCCTATGGTTCCTATGTATTTATTTGCGGTTTTGCTGTCCGCATCAGGGTGGGCCACTCATGGGGTCTCGACAGGCGAGAGTGAAGACAAACACGCAGGTTTTCCTCGAGGTGAGTGAGCCCAGAGCGTGTTCTGAACTACTCTTTTATTGGGTATTACAAGTCAGGAAGCAGGTGGTGGGGGCAGGTTGTGGGGGCATATTGTGGGGGCATATAGCCTTTTATAGTCATGCAACAGCTTTAAGCAAAACTATT